GACCAGGCTAGTGTGCAGAGGAAGCAAACTCTTCCTTGCTGCCACCCCTCCGGACACCACAAGAGACACACCTGGAAGGCCCTGCCCCTACCCCAGTGCTCACTGCCTCCTATTAGCACACACAACTGCACGCTGCCTGCGGGCAGAGCATTTCTCACGCACGTGATATCATTCCGGACACGGGGTGTCCCTGTCACGACTGCACAGACATGCACGCATAGTGACACGTGACGGATGCGCTGCAGGTTTAGAAAGACAGCAGCCCTCACCTCTGGGTCCTTGCTGCTCAGCCAGCTGCTGCTCATGAGACTGAAAAAAGGGAGCACGTGGAAACAGTAGTTGGCTGCCCGATTGATGGGGAACGGGACCTCGTCCCTGACCTGGAACTTCATGTTGGCAGCGTGAGCAAAGCCTTGCACCACTGCAGAGGGGAGGAAAGACAGGGTGTTTGCAGCGGGGGCCCCCTGGCCAGTGCGGCATGCTCCGGTGGGGTCCAGGCTCGGGGTTCGGCCCTGGGTGCCCACCGGGGCACCTGCAGGATGGACTGGCACTCACCTCCACACAGCGCCCGCTTCATCTGGCTCGTCTCCACCAGCGGCAGCACGTAACGCAGTTTGCTGAGCGTCAGCACCAGAAAGGGCTCAGACTTCAGGGCTGCAGAAGGGATGGGAGGACACACTGTGCTGTTGGACACGTTCCTGTCCACCTTCATCCCTCACACTCAGCACCGGGGCTGGGCTGGGCTGCCTGCTGTGGCCACCCCAGCCTGGCCGTGCTGGGTGAGCAGCACACAGGGGCTTTGTGGATGTCCAGGAAACCCCACAGTGACCTCCTCTACATAGGGCAATCCTGTGTCTGCTGCCTCAGCCATGCCCAGATGCAGGAGAGGAGCAGGGGTGCAGGGGCATGTTGGGGAATGGCAGGGCTCCTGCCCACCTGGTCTCCACTTCTTCCCATCCCAAATGCTTTTCCAGCTGTGACGGGAGTTAGTGCCGTCTCCTTAGAGCCAGGAGGCAGACTCCTTGGGCCCCAAATCCAGGTCAGCTGTGGTGGCCCCATTGGACAGAGGTGGTATTCATGCCCTGCCTCCGCAATCCCTGAGCAGAGCCCGGAAGCGAGGGAGCAATGCTGTACCATAGGCTGAGACCAGGTCGCCCAGCGTGATCAGGAAGGACAGGGGTGGGAGCTCCATGATGTCCACGTGGCTCTGCAGCTCGTGCATCACCTCGTTGTAAAAGGTGCCGGCAAGCGCCACGAGGGTTTTTCCTGC